TGTCGTAAAGTAACTTACTAAAGTAACTAGTCGAGTATCATGTTGTTTTAGAAGAGTTTCATTGAGCGCATCTTAATGTGTCGTCAAGAAAACGATTTCATTGTCGCAGAATACACAAATACTTCAACTGCTGTATCGCAGTATCCGCCTAATCACGGGTACGAGGACAGTAATTAAGGATCAATAAGACGATCTTCACTTGATTCTTTACTATCCAGCTATCCTCTTGCCATGATGAAATCCTGCACATTAGAATTTCTATAAGAAATATTGAATAAATTTTTTAATTTTAAAAGCGTCTAAATGAGCGAAGTGTAAGTAATAAATTACATGAAACATAATATTCGGAATGTACTACAGCATGAAATAACGATAAATCGAAACTACTTCAATGTTAAACGAGCTCGTAGGATGAGCATTTCACGATCCGCTACTTTAATTCTAGGATTTATTAACTGATCTTAACTGAGTCGAGTGATTTTACTATAACAAAAAAGATTGTAAAAAAACGTACCTGAAACAGGAAGGAATATTTTAGTGACAACCATCATATTTTTTGGAGAAATAAATCATAGTTTAGGTTAATATCAGTTAATAAATCCTAGATTATCAGTTAATAATTCGGCCAAAATCACGTGTTGCATTTTCTGGGCATACGGGTACAAGACGATAATAATTCATTCCTCGCTAAAGTTTATTGGAAACCTACAGACGTCGGAAAGGTCCTGAACCAAGAAAGTGACTGTCCCCAGCGCTACAAAATCAGCACCATATGTACCCTCATACATAGAGCGTTCAAAACCTGTACATCTGCTCGTGACTCAAAAACTGAACTCTGGACCTGCAAACATTTTTTTCAATGGCGGTAATGCAAACAAAACTACTGACAAAGAAATTTCAAATATCAGAGCATGTCAAAACCGAACAGATGAATCCACATCAAGAGGTTGCATCACCAGAATTTACTATCAAAATCAAATGAACTTGCAGCAGTCACATAGGACTGACAAAGGAGTCCTCAATTCAATTGTGCAAAATAACAGCTGCACAACAGTAACTGACTGAATACAACTTTTGATTTACTACAGAAACAAGAAGATCAAGAATTAAATCATGAAAAACAATCCATGTAAAAAGTCTAGACTTGCTGCAAGAAACCAATGTCATTTTCAAATTTTCCTGCATGATGGAAAGTTGTAAAATTCTCCAAACTGTAAATTGCATTGATTTGACCAGCACGACATGAGCCGCAGACTCACGTGCCATCTGCAAGCTGGAGGACCAAAGAATCATATACGGGAGGCCCACAACGAGACCATGAGCCGCAGACTCACGTGCCATCTGCAAGCTAGAGGACCAAAGAATCATATGCGGGAGGCCCACAACGAGACCATCACCCGTGCCATGTTGAAGGCCTGCACCAGCATTGTCATGCGGTGCCCTGACGCAACAAGACTGTCGATAGTAGAGGATGAGGCTGCTGCTATCAATTCACAAACCACCGGATTGGTCAGGAGGTTGAAATTATTCTTGGATTGATTTAATTTTTGATTTTAAACTGTATCTACGATACTTTAAAATATGTCATATCCAAATTTCAATTTTAAGCATTGTAATAATTCTTCACCTGCTTGATAATGAATATTGATATATTCAAAACATCATATTCCAGTAAAATGTCATTTGGTAATCTGCTTTTTTATCTCCTAGCACCAGCAAGAAATTTCATTCAGCTTATGGAAAAAAATAGGAAAATTGTTAATTAAAAGGATGCTCTAGTCTTCAATCAAACCTGTATGAATGAAGAACTTTTGCCTAACTACACTAATGTGCAATATAGTGCATGCCTTGAAGTCTGTGACATCACTGCACTTGTCTCGGAACGTTCTAGGACGTTTAAATGTTAATGGCAGTGTTACCACCATCAAGTGATGAATGTAAATTCATAAATCAGCAGGTTACCATAAAGTTGCCCTAGATTGACAGTAAAAGCAATTTTAGAATCCTGTTCCTTATTAGGGTAATATGGAACAGCAACCCCCTACCCTTTTTTTAAACTAAATTGTTGGCTAAGTTTTAATTGATACTAGGTAGTTCTTTGTTTTGTTTAAAGTTAGAACTAATGAGGAATGTATGATGTGAATTAAACACCTATATAGATCTCCAATTTTTAATGAAACACTATTTTGTAAGAAGTGTCGAAATTGGCCCATTGCCATGGGCTTGGGGCAGAGTGCCCATACCTGGTCCCTTTACCACAATTGCAAATTTTTTGCTTACAAATTATAAAACAACACTTTACAGTTCATAATAAGAAAATTGTAATAACAAATATTACATTTATTCATTTATTGACAACTTAAAACATCATATCCTTGACTTGAAAAAAATATATTCTTGGCTTAAAAAATTTATCACCGACATGAAAAAAATATTTCCTTGACAAAAAATGTATATCCTTGACTTGAAAAATATATCCTTGCCATAAAAAATTCATCCTTGACATGAAAAAATGTATCCTTGACTAGAAAAAATATGCTTACTTACTCAGAAATAAACTTCGTTCCAGTTTCGTTCATATCCAGATATTATGGGCAGGGAATTCGTACTTAATCGAGATTTCAGCCAACACCACAGAAACTCATCCACTTTTGGCTCATTGGTTTTGGCTGAAATCAGCTTTTGGCAAGGCTTGATTTGGGGTCAATAACTCAATATGGGGTCATAAATATGCATAACTAGAAACTAGAACCTGCTGCCTTGAGGTGGAAAATCATAAAATCATACAATATGAAATGTAATTTGTAATTGAAAAAGCTAGTCATAGTTTTGAGAAGGTCATTGAGACAAATCTAATGATGTATAACACAAGACTTCAATGAGGGTTATTGAGCCCACCATGGGCGCTTTGCCTTGTGACACGCATGGGCCCGTTGCCCACTAGGTATCATCTCAATTTATATTGTATCAACATTTTATTTTAAAATCTAATAGTCTAAACTTGAACTCAAAATTATCCTTATAAATAATATTTTCAAAATATAATTCACATTAATTTCAAAAGCTTCATTTACAGTAATCAAAAACAGTTTTATTTAGCAGCAAAAAAATTTTTATCATGCCTGAAACAGTTATTTGAGAGTAACTTAACAACGCAAACTCTTAGCAAAATATAGAGCCACACACTTTAGCCCAGTGAAACTGTCGATGGGCAGTAGAGAACACTGACCAATATCTGCCATACTTAATAGCAGGAAACCCGCTATGGGGCCATGACCTGCAGTGGTCCCTTTGCCCCATGTTACCCTAAAGCTTACATATGCTCATTGAAGAAAGGCATGTTCAAACTCACAGTTCATCTATAGAACATAGAACTTGAATTTTACTCTATTTTGAAAATATTGGAAAAATATTTGATGCCTTTCAAATTACTTTATATATATAAATTTTAATATTTAATTGCAAATTCAATGTTCTGCAAAGCTTTCCTTTCTCCCACTATAGATAAATGTTCAGGTACAGGTAATATCCCTACACAATAAGTATCCTGGATACTTGCCTGAGCAGCTCCAAAAGAAACTTCCACAAATAATTATAAGATATATGTTATTTCTTCCATCTATCAAACCTGGAAAACGAAATCATATCCATATTAAATCTCAGGCTACTCCCCATTTTTTCTTCCGTTGATTTCATGACGATATGAATTAATTGATCATGCATGATGTACCCAGAAATTAATTTCGGATGATATCGTCCTGGCAGATACACTCCTGAAACCACACATGCGTATCAATTTAGTACTAAATTGTCGGTATACTGACATCATAGCGCAACATATCTTGTCAGTGATGAATCAGTACCCCAATATCCTGAAAACATTGCAATATTAATTGTTAATACATTTTATTGTGTTTAATCTATAGAAACTAATTTTTATGGTACCCAAATGTCAATGTAACATTTTTTGCACTTCTGTATATACAGCAATCCCTTGATTAGCACGGTTTTGAATACCGCGGTTTTGATTAATGCGGGAAAAAAATTTGCGACCAACCCTTAATCTACGCGGTGCCAGTTTTGATTAGCGCGACTTTTTTTCACAACGCATCATTTTCCCGCCTCTAGCCAGAGGTGTTACGTTCGTAAAAAAAGTGTTACTTTTTGCTTATTAGATCTTATGTTGTTACTTTTGTTATGACTTTTGGAAAAATTTGCCAAATGTTGTTACTTTATGAATTTCAGCCAATAATTCTTTAAATAAGGTCCCGTTCCGTAGGCACTCGTGCTGACTACAGAGTCGGTTTAACCGCGCCTTCTTGCAATTGACCACAAACATGCTTACGAAGAAGATGAAAAGGAGACAGAAGAAAAAGAAACGACTCCTAAAGAAATTTCTAGTAAAAAACTTGCAGAATTACTCACTGCAATTAAAAAAACTAGCAGAATTACTCACTGCAATTAAAAAAACTAAAGAAATCATAAGAGAAGTAGACCCAAATGAAGAAAGAAGCATGAATGTTTGCTGTGGCCTGGATAGGCAAGTGAATTGCTATCACACAATTATGCAGGAGAGAAAGAAATCTACTGTGCAATTGAAATTGGATTCGTTTTTCAGGAAAAAATAAATGTTAATTCATTCACATTTCTTTTATTTATTTCCCCTATTATTTCGAAAAAATATGATGAATTTTAGTGGAAAAAAAATTATTATGTAACTTTGCTATTTTTGAGGATTCATTATAATTATTCCCATATATTCTGAAGTTTGATTAGTGCAGTTTTGCTTAACACGGTAAAACTCGGGGATTTATTAACCACGTTAATCAAGAGATTGCTGTATGGTATATATTTTCATTGGATGGGTGGTGGACTGGATCATGGTGACGATCTGAGCGATGAGGTAAATATATGATAATGGATACCAGTATTATAAATATTTATTTATGGCTGTTGTAATGTCTATTTATGACTCATGAATACCATTATCTTGTTTTCAGATTGCAAGAAAATAATAAGGATATATATACATCTGTTGTTGTTCACCCTTCCCGTCCCGCAACAAATGCGGGACGGGGCCTACCCCCATTCCTGTGGCCAGCCCAACCTCTCTCCCCAGCGCACCAACAGCCCTGCCACCTTGATGGGAGAGCTCCACAAAACCAGGAGCAACAAGGGCAGGACCAGCTCCAAGCAGCCGAACAGGTGGTTGGTGTTGTTTTCATGTTTGTGAGAGTGGACAAAGGAGGGATGGATGTGTGACTGGATCTATCTTGTGTAGGTATTGGTGTAGTAGGGGGGACTTGTTTGTACAGTGTTGTGCTAGTGCTTGGCATGTGTGTCTGGGTAATTGGGTTTCTGAAGAGTCTATGGCTGGTGCTTGTGCAGAAAGTACAGCATTGTTTGGTAGATTGTCTATGTAGTTGGTTGTGACTTGTGATTGTAGTGTGTATTTGTTTCTTGCGTCTGTTAAGTGTTTCTGTTGTGGCTTGATCTGGTTCTATGGGTATGTTAGTGGTGTAGTTTCTGTTTGTGAAAACGGTTTGTTTCATTAGTCTGGGTGGGTTGTAAGGTTGAGTATGGGTATGAAGTGGGTGGGTTGGTGCTTGAGCTTTTAGTCTTAGTTGGGATGCATGGAGTCTGAGGTGTTGGTCTATTGGCTGCGTTTATGTTTCTGTGAGTAGGTGGCTTTGGTTAGTGTCAGCTGTACAACCTGTTGCTATGCGGAGTGCTGTGTTTTGGATTGTTTGAAGTTTATTTGTGTGAGTTTTTGCTAGGCTGGGGGACCAGATGGTGCTGTTGTATTCTATTATAGGTTGTGTTATAGTTTTGTAGGTTGTGAGTAGGACTTCTTTTTTTCCCCAGTTTATTGGTGTGAGAGATTTTAAATTTTTTATTGTTTTAGTTGCTTTGTCATGTGTGTTATGGATGTGGGTATTGAAGTTTAGTTTGGGTCGAATGTGATTCGTAGTATTTTTGGGTGTGTGATGGTGGGAACTGTGGTATTGTCTATGGTAAGGTTTAGTGTTTTCCTGTATTCAGCAGGGTCAGGCGTGAAAAGTGTGGCTGTACTTTGGGATGTATTTAGTTGGAGGTTGTTTCTGATGTTGTTGTTGTTAATTGCCCGGGACCGCTGCTCGGCGGCGCCCACAAAGAGGCGGCGGCTCTGGGGCAGGAGAGGGGAGCGGAGGTTCCGCTCTAAGGATGTCGGCTAAGGATGGGAGCAAGGAGAGGAAAGCCACAGTTGGTCCAGGGTTAGACCAGAGGTCCAGTGGGGTCAGCAAGGTGGGATGCGAAGGGCAGCTGAAGAGGTGATGGGTGGTGAGGTCTATTGCGCCGCACTCAGGGCAAAGTGGGCTGTTGGCTGCACCAATGCGGGCAAGATATGAATTGAGCCGCGATGAGTAGCCAGAGTGGAGCTGGGAAAGGGCGCTTCTGGCCGCCCTGGGGAGGGATAGCTTGCTGGATGAGACAGTGGGGGCAGGGGTCAGCAACACCTTGTTGGGAGCTGCTGAGGCCAGGTAGGATGAGACAGCGGAGCTGTGCAGGGTGCTGAGGGCAGCGGAGTAGGTGTTGGGGGGAGGGATCCCTCTTCCAGCAGGTGAGAGACAGAAGGGAGGAAGTGGGACTGAAGCGTGTGCTTCATGGAATGGGGCCCTGATGTCTGGGTGACAATAGGGTAACTGGGATGGTGTGGTCAAAGGGCACTGGCAAGGAACTGTGAGCAGAGTAGAGAGAGGTTTTCGGCCATGGGTAAGACCTCAGCTTTGCTGTGCAGGTGGGAAGTGGAGGCCATTAGAAGAGATCCTGTGGCTATGTGGAGGGCAGAGTTTTGAATGGTTTGCAGCTTGGAGATTGCCAAAGGAGAGGCGTTAGGGAACCACACTGGGGCAGTGTAAGTGATGAGGGACTTTATAAGAGCCTTGAAAGTCACCAGGTGGGTTTCCTTCTGCTGTCCCCAGCTGGTTCCGGCGAGGGATTTGAGGATGTTGAGGCGCGGGCGGGCTCTCCGGCATATTTCAGCAATGTGGGGCGAGAAGGTGAAGTGGGGGTCAAAAGTGACCCCAAGGATCTTTGGGGTTCGACAAAGTGGGAAGTCGGACCCCTCCCAGTTGACATGAGGGTCTGTTTGTGATTGATGGGTGTCAGAGGTGAAGAGGGTAGTGTGGGATTTGGGGATAGACACCGATAACCCCTTCCGACAAGCCCATGCAGCCACATCGGAGGAGTGGGAGGAGAGGACTGCAGATGCGTCAGCGATCTGGACGGCCCCCCGCAGCGGCTGTGAAATTGTCTGCATAGGAGGTGATTAGAGGGGCGGACTGGGGGAAGTCTGAGACATAGGAGTTGAAGAGGACGGGCGAGATGACAGAGCCTTATTGAACTCCAGCGAGGTCCGGAGGTGGGGAGGAGATGCAGCTGTTGTAGGAGCACCTGGCTGACCTGCCTCTGATGTAGCAGATTAGCCAGCGGGTGATGTTGGCATGGAGGGGAGTGGAGGCGATGTGAGAGATGAGCTGGGCATGAGGCATGGGTGTCAAAAGCCTTGCTGAAGTCAATGGCCATTGCTATTGTCTTGGTTGGTGGGCAAGGCTGGTTGAAGCCTGTAGCTATGGCCTGGGTTAGAGGAAGTAGGGCAGATGTTGTGGAGTGAAGGGAGCGGAAACCGTGCTGGGAGTCCGCCAGTGGAAGTGCAGCATTGAGGGAGAGGAGGAGTAGACGCTCCATAACCTTTACAGTTGGGCACAGGAGGGAAATGGGACGGTATGAGGAGCTTATGGAAGGAGGTTTGCCCGGCTTTGGGATGGCAATGATTGTGGCTGACTTTCAGATGGCAGGGATGTCGGCCTTGGCAAGGGACAGGTTGAAAAGTTTGGTGAGGTACTGGATGCCTCTGGGACCCAGATGACAGAGGTGGAGGATGGTGAGGGAGTCCGGTTCAGTGGCGGTGGAGGTACCCGAGCTCCAAACTGCCTGTCTGGTTTGATCCGGAGTGAACGCGGGCGGTGTGTCGGAGAGAGGAATGCGGCGCTTGATGCCTCTGTAGGTGGACCTGCAGGAGGGGTCACGTTGGTGGTGGGGAACCAGCGTAAATTGACGGCAGAAGGAAGAGGCTATAATATGGTCTGTGGTGACATGAGAGTTATTGAAGGAAATGGGTTGGTTGGGGGCTTGACTGGCTGATTAGCCGGAGAGAGAGCGTAGGAGCAACCAGAATTTGGCTGGATTCCTCTGCAAGACTTTCTTAATCCAGGTTGTGCGGGAGTGAGTGGAAATGGCAGCTGAGATATTGTTGTTGAGGTCCGGTAGGCTGGGGTGGTTGGGGTCCAGGGCTCGGGCTCTGTCACGCTCTTGAATGAGAGGGATGGCAGATGGTGGGAGGTTGGGAATGAAATCCCTTCTGCATCCGCGGGGGATGTGTTGGCGGGCCACCAAGGTGAGAATCCTTCTAAAGAGGATCTCTCCCTGGGAGCAGGAGGAGGGGGGAGCAGCAGCGCTAAAGGCGGCCTCTGTATGGGCAGTGTAGCCCTCCCAGTCTGCTCGACGGAAGTTGATGCAAGTGCGTGTAGGGCGGTTGTTGGGGGGGGGTTCAGAGAGTCCAAGGAGATGGAGATGGGAAGATAGTCAGAGTTGAGGCGGGCAAGTGGGGTCCAGACAGCATCCAGGGCCAGATGGGGGCTGATGAGGGTGAGGTTGGGCAACGTAGGGGCTCCTTGCGATGGGAGCCTGGTTGGGGTGTCTTGGTTGAGGAGAATGTACTGCTGGAGTCTATTTGGTTGATTAAGGCTGCGCCTTGGGCAGCCGCGCAGTCATCTTGAGTAGCGGAGTACCACGCAGGGTTGTAGGCGTTGAAGTCGCCCATAATAATGGTGTTATGGGCGTCCAGCTCGAGCAGAGGGGTCAAGGAGGGTGAGAAGCCAGGGGGCAGGAAGTGGGTGGTGGGAAGTAGATGTTATAGAGATGGAATTGTGCGCCATCGATGGAGATGGAGATGGCCTGGTGTTCCGTTGTGGAATCACCAGGGAACAGGTGGTCAGAGGGGATTGAGGAGTACGAGACAGTGTGATTCATAATGAAACAGAGACCGCCACCGCCGGCGCGAGGACCTATGGGTCTGTTTCTGATAATCCAGTAGTGTATCTGTTGTAGAAATGGTTGTATACTTTGTTCTGCAATTTTGTAATTGTGGTGTGATGAGAAGATGGTAATGTTGTCTGCATAGGTAATCATGTGTACATCTGTGGGTTGAGTGGGGAGATTGGAGGTGTATATGTTGAAGGATGCCCCCTTGTGGTATGCCCATTTTGAAATTCTGCTGTTTGGAAGTGGTGTTATTGAAAAGTGTGCAGCATTTTCTTCCTTTTATGTAATTGGATATGAATTTCGTTAATGTTGGTGGCATTTGTATCTTTGAGAGTTTGTCTATTAACTTGTGTAGGTTTACTGTGTCGAATGCTTTGGACATGTCTAGCGCTATTGTAATGGTTTGTGAAGGTGCTTGTTTCTGATTGAATCTGTGGGTAATATGTTGGGTAAGTGAGTGTAGGGCTGTGACGGTGGAGTGATTTCCCTTGAAACCATGTTGGTGAGCTATTTGTGGAATGAGAGGTTGAATTATGTTGAGTATGATTTTTTTCTAATGTTTCGGAGATTGGACTGAGGAGTGATATTGGTCTGTAGGAAGCGCCTATGGATGTGTCTTTGTTGGGTTTGGGTATGGGTATGATCTTGGCTAGTTTCCATGGGTGTGGGATGATGTTTTTGTTTACTGCTATATTGTATATTTTGGTAAGGTATGATATTGCGTTGGGTCCAAGGTGTTTTAGGTGTTGAATGTTAATGTTATCAGGGCCCGTGGATTTGTTGTTCTTACTATTTTTAATTGGAGAAATGGTCATATCTGTTGTGATGGTCATCTGATCTTTTCACAAGTTTTTGATTTTTCTGTCTATTTTTCTGTAGTGAGGGCAGGTTTGATGTTTTGTTATGTTTATGAATTGGTTGTTAAAAGATTTTACTTTGTCTTTGGAAGTATGTGCTATTTTATTTGGGAAACTAATGGATTTGTTTGGTTGAGTGGGAGTGGTTTTGTTTGATAGTTGCTGTATTGTTTTTCAGAGTATATGGCTATGGTATTGTGTTTGTTGTCCCAGTGTTGCTCCAAGTGTTCTCTCCAAATGTTTGTTTTATGGTCCTGTACGACTCTATCAATTTCTCTGTATAACTGCAGTAGTTGCGGGTCTGTGTGATTTACGGTTCTGATTTGATTTCTTTGAGTTATGAGAGCTCTTATGTTGTCTGGAAGAGGTGGTTGTTTTGTTTTTATTTTGCCTTTAGGAATGTTGTGTTTGTCCGCTTGGATTATGATGTTTGTGAAGGTTTTGTTTGCGACTTGTATATCAGTTGGGTCTGCTATATTTTCTAGTGCTGATTCTATATCAGTTGAAAATGAGGCCCAGTCAGCTTTGTGGTAGTTAGTGTATGTTTTTGTTTGGTGTTGTAGTCAGAACAGGGTTGGTGATTTTTTTTATTTTTTTTTAGAAAAATCCAAAATCGATGATTTTCTTGATTTTTTCAAGATTTTTTTTATTTATTTGATTATGTGATTTTTTCAGCTTTTTTGTCTTTTTGAAATGTTATTTTTTGTGTTGCAATTAGCCTACTAACAATAACAGTATATTGGACTAAAATGGATGGCTAAAAAGGGCACTTATTGCCTTCAATAATGGCCAACAGGCCAAGGGGTGTTTACCACTTTGGGACTTGTGGGTAAACAGTTATTGATAAGTCTATTCATTAGCTTTGTAAAGTTTGTATGGAACAAGGTAACTAGCTAAATATTGACCATTTAACTGGCTCTAATATACAAAAATACTTCAGGAATGTGGATCTTCTAAACATTGAAGAGTCACATAACAGATAGGTAGCTGATAGCACAGTGCACAACACTCAATAGATCTACTAGTTTTATGTCCTATAAATCTACCAGACTCTACCCTCTATACACACCGACTAGTAGTGACCGAGTGACTGACTGCACTGTTTCCATTTGATTGACCAATAAACCAATACTAAACATAAACGAAACAATAACCAAACAAACCTCAAATGACTTGAAACAAGACTAATGTTATGAGAAAAGCTAACACTGTTTGAAATAAACATATGCACAATTCAAACATTTTATTTCCATTCACTGCATTTAATTATTTTAGATATAGTTGTATTATTGTAATTGTTTTGGTTTCTAGTTTTAAATTGACATATTTAAAAATTGTAATTAAATATTTTAATTAGAATACTCTTATTAGGATGGAAAATTTTTCTAATTGCCTAAAAGGTCAATCCAATCTCAACCTCCCAATATACAGGGTGGGGCAGTACCAATTGAGCAGTTTTGAAGTGAAATAAGAGTAATGGAGGTAAATAAAGAAGAAAGTTTATTTTCCTTGAGGTTAGCATAACATACCATTTAGAATACTTATGTTTTGAAAACAATATCTAGAAGATGGTGGCCATTAGCTGCAACACACTGTAGGAGTCATTCTCGGAGGAGGGAGAAACGACAGTGAATTCCGAACGCTATGCTGCAATGTTGCAAAATTTATTGCAGCCCAGGATGGAAAACATTGTTGAAAATGAAGCATTCGGAGACATATGGTTTCAGCAGGATGGGGCTACAGCTCACACAGCCCGAATGTCACTCAATGTTTTGAAACGCATGTTTCCAGGAGGTCTGGTGTCTCTGAGGGGTGATTTACAGTGGCCTGTGAGGTCACCTGATTTGAGCATTTGCGATTTCTTTCTTGAGGGACATCTAAAAGAGAGGGTGTTCAGAAGTTGCCCTCACACCCTACCACAGCTAAGGGAACGGATTATTGCAGCAGAGGTTATGGCCATGCCTCGCCATATGTGTGAATGTGCTGTAGGAAGCTTCCGAGAACGACTCCAACAGTGTGTTGCAGCTAACGGCCACCATCTTCCTGATATTGTTTTCAAAACATGAGTATTTTAAATGGTATGTTATGCTAACCTTGAGGAAATTAATCTTGCTTCTTTATTTACCTCCATTACTCTTTTATTTCACCTCAAAACTGCACAATTGGTTTTGCCTCACCATGTATAAGCTAGCTAACACATTTAAATTGTATATTGTAATAAAAAAATAACAAATAGTCACATAGTTAATTTAAGACTACTTATAGCCTTCTAAGAATTAGCTAAGCTGCTAGCTATGTACATTGTATTGCAACACTTGATGCCTCTGTACCAAAAACATACAATTCATTGGAACCAAATACACACTAAAGGCAACAAGTTTATATTCCAATTTGTCATAGTACATTTATACTAAGCCATGAATAACAATACCTCAAAATAAATTAAAGACTGCCACTCAATATATATAAATATATAAAAATAAAAATACAAAAATCATGATTTTTTTATAAAAAAATCAAATGATTTATTTAATCAGTTTGATTTAATCAATGCCAACCCTGAGTCGGAAGTTTGTTTTTGTTCTATAGTCTACTGTCTAGTAGTATAGGTAGGTGGTCAGATGAAAGTTCTGTCAGAGTAGTCCAGGTAATGTTTGCTATAGTGTCAGAGGCTGTGGAAATGTCAGGAGAGGTAGGTTGTTGATTGTTTGTGGTGGGTAGACGAGTAGGTGAATTTTGGTTGAGGATGATGTGGTTTGAATTCTGTATAATGTCTTCCATTAGTATGCCTCTGTGGTCATTGTAAGGTGAGTGCCAAGAGTTGTGCTGGGCGTTAATGTCTCCTGTGATGATTGTGTTTGCTTTATTGGTGATGTGGATTAAGCATTCAGTGATGAGTTGATATATATGGTTGTGTAATGGATGATTGGTGTCTAGGGGGGATGTATAGGTTGGCTATGTAGATTGACTTATTATTGGATAAGTGGACTTGAGAGATTTGAAGTTCTGTAGCAGCTTGGTTTATGTTAGGTGGGATTTGAATGGTGGAAAAGGTGATGTTATTTTTTATGTAAGTTAGTAGACCGCCACCATATTTGAGTGTTCTGTCTTGTCTTATATTTGAATTTATATGTCTTCTGCCACCTCCTCTCAAGGTTCATTGGAATATTGCTTGATATTGTGGACTAGGTCATGTTCAATGATACATAGATATTCAACCTTGAATAATAGTTGAATCAATTGCCAAATGTCCAGTAAAAATTTGTTTTCAGACTAAAAAGAGCTATTGATTTTGACATAGGAAGGGCTTTCAATTTTAATTGCATTTTATACGTTAAACGCTAATCATAGCAAAGATTATTTACTACATCAGCATATCCTCAAAAGCTTAAATTGCTTCTTCACTGCTTATAAACTTCATATGCTTGAAGCCACCACCTTCAATATTGACACTGTCACAACCATTAATTGTGGCATCATTACCACAATTGCTGATAAGCCACTAAGAAGCCAACTCTTATAGATCAGCTGCTACTAGTGAATTGGTGCCGATAATCGTGAACAAAGTAATTTCTGGTGAAGGGGGTAGGCAATAAATAATCGTAGAATAAGCAGCTGAGTAAATAAATAATTGTAGACAAAATTTTACTCAATATTTGTTGAAGTATCTCGAAAGCACCTTCAATACATCAAATGTAGTTTCTGAGTGGAGCTTTACTTTAGACTTACACCTTCAGCTTCACATTTGTGGCATGGCAATATGGACCACCTACCTGTGCCTAGTTGCTGGTGCTAATGAAATGCACATCCAGTTGGCTGATATTGAATAGAATGTCTGGTTCCGAATTAACCATTCTACTATAGTTAGATTTGCTTAACAATTAAATGCAGTTCTCGTAGACTGAAGGTTGAAGCGCCAATCATCCGTCCGCGGTCAAGAGTTGAATGAGTTCAAATAAATATTTTCTGAATATTCCAGGGAGTTGATGGTGTTGGAGGCGCCACACATACGAGTGAAGAAGGCTCCGTAAATGTTAAAGAAACAGCACCCGTGCCCATCACCGAAGACTTGAAGCCCACGGTAGGTTATCACTTTGTTAGGAGGTTAAAAAGAAGACATATTTCCTTAGCATCTAAAGGAAGCTAATAAATAGTCACGACTTTCAAGGGTGTTATGTAGTAGGGTTTTTTTTAAAAACAGAACCTCTTGCAGTGTCTTACGGAACAACTAATCTCTACTCGTGCTGCGCTGTGTTAACCAACCGTTGGCGGAAGAAATTAGTATATTAATTTGTGCCTAATTGATCTGGATTAAAATTTAGTATATATTTCATGATTAAGTTACTGTTCCTTGTAAAGTTACTGAACTCTCGTCACAGTGGGCTTGTGCTGTAACTGCTATCTGCACATCAATACATTGTGAGCTCATTTATATATATTATTCATTCCTCAATTCGAGTGAGGAATTTAGGGGCGTAAAATATTGTAAAAATTTTTGAGTTTCAGCGCTTCTAAAGAAAGTTACAAGTCGATTGAGGTATATCAAATTGAATTAAAATACGAGTATGTTAATTATATTGGAAAGTTTATATGACGGTATGCAATGCAGAAGCTGAGAGCCGTACATCTCGCAACATCGTTTTAAGCTTGCAACAATCCGACACATTGTTAATATTATTGATACTGCATACACGTATTTTGCAGGCAAGTGAGAGTGAGCGTGAGCAAGCCGAACACTCCATCAACGTCCGCCGCGGGGATGGCACGAATTTGAGAGAAGAGGGTCATTATCCCGTGGATGGTCAAAAGAAATTGTCCATTTTCAATTTTATGAACTTCAAAAAAAGTTCCGCACGCAACGGAAGTGAGGAAGATGTTAGAAAATTGACTTCTACCTTCCAACAAGTAGGCTATGAAGTAGAGGCATATGAAGACCAAAGCAAAGCAGAATTTTTTGCCACTCTGTTGAAAATTGGCAAAAACGAAGAACTTGCGCGCTACAAGCTTTTCATGTTGGCAATATTGAGCCATGGGAAGCGATCTGACGGCCGGCAGTTCGTGGCTGCTGACGAGAGCAGCATCAGCATTGATGAAGTCAGGTCGTACTTCAATGACCGTCACTGCCTCCAATTGAAGGGCAAACCGAAAATTTTTTTGCCAACATTTTGTCGTTCACTGCCCGAGATTCCTCAGAGTTCCTCAGAAACATCTATTGTTGAAACTGAAGAACCTCAGGGCAACTTCATGGAAATTGATATGCCTTCAGCTGGAACCTTTCAACTTGGCTCACAAGGCCAGCCAAATGTCACTAGTGAATCTGGTGATTTTGAAACAGAAGCTGCGAACAAAAATCTAAAGCAGCTCGCGCATTTGTTGCATTGTGACGAGAAAGGCTTGACACCAGATCAGATAGGTGAGATTTTGACACCAGATCAGGTAGAAGAGATTTTTCTTGATCCAGTGAGTTTCAACTTCTTGCAAGAAGCCGCGTCGGTAAGTGAAATAACTCTGGTTGCAAGCGTGGAAAACTCTGACGCCGAACCACAAACCCAAACCAACTGTGGCGAGCAGACCTTGCACGAGATTTATCCTAAAGACTTCAATGACATGATGACGCTCTACTCCTGCAAGCCGGGATTTCGGTCTTTGAGGAAACGCAGCTATGGCACGCTTTTCATAAGTGCGCTCTGCGACGCGGTTGCAGAAAATGGCTACCGTTACAATGTGGATAGACTTTATTGTGACATTGAGGAGAGGATGAGAGTAAAATGTGCAGACGACAGTGAGTCTCTTGAAGGATTTGATCCAGACAGAGAAAGTTCGACCTTCAGAACATGCTATCTCTTCTGAACGTTTATGGATTCGACCTTTTATCAAGAGCAAGTCACCAGCTATCAATATCTTTTACAGAACAATACGCAGCTTACACAACTCGAACAGCAAACAAGAACACACCCACGCGGCAATCACCACCAACACAGACAACATCCCCACCAGACAAGCACAAGCAAACATCCTAATACAACACTACGCAAACATAAGTAGGTTACCCAAATACAAAGAAGACAGACGCATCATCAGACGCCAAGAAAAATTTCCACTAGACCCAACAGCTACCCTAGCCACTACAAACAACACCAAAAGGGTCATACAACAAATTAAAAACTCTTCCGCTGCTGGGCCCGAGAACATTACAAACATACACCTTAAACACCTTGGCCCACACGGAATCACGACATTTACAAACATTGCCAACTTCTCCTACTCACACTCCAAAATACCATACATCTGGAAAATTGGCAAAATAATCACACTTCTCAAACCCAACAAACCACCCACTGAGGCCGCCTCATACAGACCAATCACACTCCTCTATACACCATCAAAAGTCATGGAGCGCCTCATACTGAACACAGCCACTCCGCACATTACACTTTCTCCAACACAACACGGATTCAGACCTCACCACTCGACCACAACACTACTTACAAACCTCACACAAAGCATAAACAATGGCATCAACTCCCGCAAACCTGCACACAGAACACTACTACTTAAAATAGACATCAGTAAAGCCTTTGATGCCATGCCTCGCCTCCCTCTCACAAACAAAATTTACAACACCACACTACACAACAACTACAAATGCTGGCTTGCCAATTACTTATCAGGCAGACAAGCATACGTACACTACTCAGGCAAGTCATCACACACATCACTCATACCCAACGGAGTCCCACAGGGCTCCGTCCTATCACCCTCACTCTTTAATCTATACATGCACGACATACCCGAACCACCTCCAAACATCCACATTGCATCACTTTCAACATTGTCAGACCAAGAACGATTCTGATTACTGACGCACCGCGCACGTCAACTAATCTTCATCGAATGCGGCTTGAGAGAGGTTTAACACCTAGATACTCACCCGACCAGAGCAGGATGTGCACTGAGACCCATGTACAGTTAGCAGCAGCTAGCCCTGTGGACAAGTCTACATGCTGCGCACTTACACGTTCGCACATCGCACTTACACGTTCGCACATCGCACTTACACGTTCGTTCGTCTTCTAGCTTTGAACGTCAAGTTTCAAGGCTTTAATCAGTTAATTCTGAACGTTTCTGGACAAGATTTACGACCACTCTTGAGGTCTGAGCGAGCCCATTTTTTTATCTCTTGCAGCGTGGAGCTTCTGCATGACTGCGTAGAGACGCAAACAGCTTTCGAAAAAGTCGTTTCAGAATTTTATTCACGGATTAATTTGAATGTTCTATACATTGATTCAGCATAGAAGTATACTCCAAGAATAGCTTAGGTATTCATTTAAGCATTATCTATAATATTCTCTATCCAAAAATATGCTGTCGAGAAAATTCGTTTTTCAGCATATTATATGATAATGATTATGGATTAACAGATTCATTACACACTGTCATCATATTTATCATATATTCACCATAAGTTTTGTATGCACAATTCTCTTTAAATTTACACTCTATTATCTATTAAGGTTGGTAGTACATCATTATTGGTAACGATGTGATTCTATCATTTCTTTGTTCACAAACGCTCTATTTTTATTGTATTCGCTCATCCTCCATTGTTCACACGTTCTCGCAGTGCCCCTAATTAACACATTCCCTGTTATTCCTTTACTCTCACATTCTCTGTTCCCTGACACACGGTCCCCGCTATTCCCTTACTCACATATTCTCTGTTATGCCCTTAATCGAATATTCCTGTTATTCCTTCACCCGCATATTCTCTGTTATGCCATTAATCACATATTCTTTTCGTATTTTCATAAATATTTTGCACTTATTTCTGTCGATTTCATTACCATACTATCAGAGATGGAAAGTAACGCGCTACATGTAGCGGCCGCTACGTTCTCGGTAGCAGAAGCGGCGCTACATTTAAGACAATGTAGCGGTAGCGATAGCGCCCGCTACATATTTAAGTACCGATACGAGGTTTTGCCGCTACAGCGCTACCGCTACATTTATACGATAGATTTTACTGAATATCAACGCCGTGACTGGGCACTGCACGCCGTGACTGGGCACTGTACGCCGTGACTGGGCACTGCACGCCGTGACTGGGCACTGCAGGCCGTGACTGGGCACTGCTCGCCGTGACTGGGCACTGTACGCCGTGACTGGGCACTGCAGGCCGTGACTGGGCCTGTCTCTTATACACATCTAGATGTGTATAAGAGACAGCCGTGACTGGGCGCCGTGAGTGGGCACTGTACGCCGTGACTGGGCACTCCACGCCGTGACTGGGCACTGCAGGCCGTGACTGAGCACTGCATGCCGTGACTGGGCACTGCATGCCGTGACTGGGCACTGCACGCCGTGACTGGGCACTGTACGCCGTGACTGGGCACTACACACCGTGACTGGGCACTGCAGGCCGTGAGTGGGCACTGTACGCCGTGACTGGGCACTGCAGGCCGTGACTGGGCACTGCTCGCCGTGACTGGGCACTGCAGGCCGTGACTGGGCACTGCAGGCCGTGACTGGGCACTACACGCCGTGAGTGGGCACTGCATGCCGTGACTGGGCACTACACGCCGTGAGTGGGCACTGCACGCCGTGACTGGGCACTGCACGCCGTGACTGGGCACTGCAGGCCGTGACTGGGCACTGCATGCCGTGACTGGGCACTGCAGGCCGTGACTGGGCACTGCACGCCGTGAGTGGGCACTGCATGCCGTGACTGGGCACTACACGCCGTGAGTGGGCACTCTTATACACATCTAGATGTGTATAAGAGACAGCCGTGACTGGGCACTGCCGTGACTGGGCACTGCAGGCCGTGACTGGGCACTGCACGCCGTGAGTGGGCACTGCATGCCGTGACTGGGCACTACACGCCGTGAGTGGGCACTGCACGCCGTGAGTGGGCACTGCATGCCATGACTGGGCACTGCACGTACCCTACGTGAGGTCATCAGTCAACGTAGTCGTGGTAATCACGCGGTTTGTTTATGTTGGGCGACGATGTTAATTGCGCGCGTAAATGAAGCGAAGGCTCAATAGATAGATTTACTGCCCAGTCATTAACAATACGCTCCTGCGAGCAATTTCAGAATTTTTTTGACCGCTTCATTTCTACGTATAGCGCTAAAGGCCAAGTTCACGCACCCTTTTCACGCACACCTAACTTAGCGGTCCAAACCAGCGTTTGAACTGGAAAACCAGCTGAGAAAAACCATAAACAAGCTGTAGATGTTCTGTAAGGTTAATTAAGATTCGGCGACAGGCCTACGATCTAATAAACGCTGAAACCACTATAGTAGTTTATTTTGTATTGCAATTTATATTAAGTAACGAAATAATAACTATAGTTGAAAGTAAAATTATGTCAATAAGTAACCTAATACACTTGAATAAGCTTTAGAGTTCATGACATCCGGCATTGAATATTGAATGCCTAAAGATTATAATGAACATTTAAAGCCATATTGTGTGTATTTTGACATTTGGTATGACAATGAAGGTATTACAATATACGATGGTTGTGGGGATTATTTAGTCTGCTTTGTATTCAAGTAGAGTGCTCAACGTTTGTTTTCAACACAATGTTTGTTTTCAACGTAGCGCGGAATTATTCCAACTGCGCTCGTTTAAGCTTAATTAATGTCAATAAAAGTTTCATTTTTAATTAGGACCGCGCTAGTTTCGATTTGATGAACAAATGCGTGAAAAATGTGCTAGGAATTATCATTCAGCGCTACATTAAGAATTGAGGTGGTTAAAAAATCTGACGCTGCAACAGTTGCAGCGCTGCATCCTTCAGTGAGTGTGTCGTAATGACGATTCCGCTGTTACCAGGTATCTCTAGTGGGTGAGACAAACTCGTGGTCTACTTTTGAATTGAGAGGTAACCATAAGGGCGAAAGGATAATGAAACAACAGGTCTAAGAAATTAATCAAAGGGATCTTGTACAAAAGTGAACTCAGGTGACTGATATAAATGAACAAACTATACTCTGTAGTTGTAAGTTAAATGACGTGTAAATCATAAGTGATTGTACTGAAAATTAGAGCATGGGCAGGCAAGATGGAAGTTGTTGCAGTTAACTAGACAATGGTTTTGCTTGACAGGATATTATTATCTTCAAAACTAACTATTAATGGGAACAATTTGCACAGCTTTGGATTGCAGGCAATGGTGTTACGGTTATTTTCATTATTACCGGAACGAGACAAGAAACAGATGGCATTGTTAAATATGAATGCATCAGACAGTTTAAAATCAGGTAAATAAGCGAAGGCAGCAAGGGATATTCTACATCCTAGCATAATTATGCCTCTCTTTAGCACCGTCCCTGCCGGGAAGTATGGTTACGGGGGTTGTCAAGAGTGCCGCAAGAATGTCCATTGCCACTACCTTGATGGATGGCCAATCTTGTCCACTGGAACGCCTGTGAATAAAAAATTTTTAGAACTTTGGCTCAGAAATCTGCCTGTAAGTTAATCCTAAAATTATACTTCTATTCATATTCAATTTATTTTCGCGGTTACCCATGTAGGTAGTTCCGGGTTCTGACATAATGAAAAGGAAGCCTCTAAAAATTAAAAATAAAAATTTTCAAACAATTTTTCTGTCTACCAGGTAGTGAAAAAAGAAATAAAAAGACAAATGAAATTATAATTATATATTGAAAAATCATAATTTCGTAGTTTCATCCGCAGCGCGGGAAGTGAAAAATGTAATCCGAGATTTTAATTGTGCTCCCACATACGTACCGGGGGGAGAGAGTCAGCGGCGTTCATACGGTAAACACCTTACGAGTTACGATTGTGCTCTGTGATTACTAGAATTCCTCTGAGATTAACGTAAAATTTTCCTCCGTAATTAACGTAATACTCAGAATACCCACACATTTATCAACTTGATTTTGAATTTGCTTTTCTGTATACTACGCGTATATAAGTTAAGTATCTAATTTAATTTTCAAGAACCCGGCTGGCTTTCTCGCCCCTCCCCCCTCCTGCTATTCAGGACACCCCCAAAAATGCATTTACAGTGGAACCTCAGTTAGCAAAGGCTCCAGTTAAGAAAAAAATTGATTAAAAACAAAGAATATTGATTACATTTACCTTGCTCAGCGGAAAAAATTTCACTTATTGAAAAATTAGTGCATCATTAGTCATCACAAAATTGTGCATAGAATGTCATATACAGAATTGTGCACCAGGCATCATAGAATGAAAAATAATTGACCCGAACTATGATTTATTTATCCAAAACATATGATGGTTGTCACTAAAACATTCCTTTCTGTTTCACGTATGTTTTTCAGAGAGTACTGTTCACTTCAGACTTCAGAGTACTGTTAGTAATGGATGAATACACTCTGCATGCTCCAAATATTTTAAAATGAAGTTTTATTCAAAGTGTCCCGAGTAGCCCTGTTCGACGGGGCTACTCGGGACACTCATTTTTTGCTTCTGGCACCTTACAAATAGTATATAAAATTTTTTGAAGATGCCATTTGATGGCCCTCGCAAAGAGCTATAAAATGAGCCTAAACTTGTTTATGAAATGTTTCATGGTAAGGAGTTATTAACAAAAACGCTCAAAACATCCCGAGTAGCCCCAGTTGACGGTAGTCAAATAGTTGTAGACTACTTACAGCCTTATAAGAATTAGCTAAGCTGCTAGCTATGTACACTGTATTGCAACACTTGATGCCTCTGTACCAAAAACATACAATTCATTGGAACCTAATACACAATAAAGGCAACAAGTTCATATTCCAATTTGTAATAGTACATTTATACTAAACCATGAATAATAATACCTCAAAATAAATTAAAGACTGCCACTCAACCACTCAATATATTTAAATTTATAAAACAATAAAAAAATTGAAAAAATGAAAAATCATGATTTTTTCATATAAACATCAAATGATTTAATCATTTTGATTTAATAAATGCCAACCCTGATGGGGGTGATTTATATTTGGCACCTGCCATTTCACCAGTACCAACAAATGATCCTCCTTCAACAGCTCCATCTTCTGCTACTGCCTTTGCATCTTCATTCCCTCTGACACTTCTTCACCTCCGCCTTCAATAACTGCCACTTCTACCACTAAGGAACCACAGCCTTCAACTACTGCCACTTCTACCCCTCAGGAGACTCAGCCTTCAATAACTGCCACTTCTACCACTAAGGAACCACAGCCTTCAATAACTGCCACTTCTACCCCTCAGGAGCCTCAGCCTTCAACTTATGGGATCAAATCTAAAACCTTTAAAACATTAACTATTCCAAATCCAGTAGAAAAATATCTTCATTATCCAGCCAAAATAGTATATAAAAAGAGAAAGGCCCCAGCAACACCACTCCTGAGCATCATTAGCGCTCGCCAGTATTGATCACAATTATTTGAAAAAGCAAAAGGCCAAAAGAATGATGACAGGTTGTGTGTATATTGTAATCATTCATGGTCAAATGATGAAGAAAGTAAAGTAAAGGCTAGGTTGATCGATTGCAATCACTGTGATAAAAAATGCATATTAGTCGTTTGCCAGAAAAGCGTGTGAAAAAAATTTGTTTTGATTGGGATGCTGTGAAGAATAGAGATGTTGATTTCATGTGTGTGTGTTGTCTTGAAGGTAGCCAGACCTTAATGAATTAGATAACAAAGGATGTCTAGCCAAGGAAGGAGGAAATAATTTTCAGTAAAAGTGTTTTTATAATCCTATTACACTATTAGGAATGTTTACAAATGCTTGACAGAATATGCCTCACAACCTGACGGATTTTCTGTCAGAATTAGTCTCAAAATATACCGCATT